GTCTGATGCCTGGGTGATAAAGGACTGGTAGTTGAATTTTCCCACAATGTTATGAGTAGAGCTGACGTTTCCATTGAATTTCACATAACCTTGTTTTCTCAAAAGGTATCCTCATCCATGGTGGACTGTCGTTTTAACCTCGCCTAGTTCTTATTAACACCCATAGTAGGACTCAAAGTATGATAGTGTAGCGTATAATCTCGGCACATTAATCGCTAAGCCACATTGCCAGGATTGACCGTGGATCAAAGGGCAGATGTGAATTTCAATGTGGCGTAGGTTTTCGAGACTACCAGTAAATAACAAATATTAGTTTGCTTCATCGACAATTTCACCACAGGTGATATGGGAAAATGCCTGGTCTTCCTTGAAATTCACACCTGCCCTGCGACCCAATGGTAGGGTGGCGGTGGTTAACATGACGAGATTATACGCTGCACTGTCATAGTTAGTCCCGCTGGGGGTGTTGCTAAGACATAGGCAAAGTTGAAACGGCAGTCCATCATGGATGATAATACTTTTTTGGGAAAGCAAGACTGTGTGAAATTCGATGGAAAACATCAGCTCTACTCATATCATTGTGGGAAAATTCAATTGCCAGTCATTCATCACCTTAAACGAAATAGGGTATAACACATCTCATACAAGTAAATATTTAAACGGTGGATCCCATAATATATTGGTGCTTGTAATGACTGCAGAGTAGAGGGATAAGATGAAACTCAATACGATTCTATTTCAAATAAAAATGGAGTAAAGTCATTGAAGGGTCTACTGGACAATGCGACGTGACTAAAAGTAGCATAAGAATATAAATATAAATAATTCAATAAGGAGACTCACACAGAAAAATAAGCAAATAAGCCCACATAAGGATGCAATTAAGCAAGTAAGTTTGTACCTGTTCGATTGAAAGGATCACTGCATCCCTCGGTGTCAGCTACTTTGGACCTGGCTGCCTCCACAACGGAGTCATTTGGAGAGAGAATGCTAGACTCTGAAGCATTCAGGCAACCCGAATCAGGGCTACTCATCGATGTTGTCACAATGGGCGGTCGGTGCAGATCAGTTATGAGGGCGTCTGCCAAGCCCCCCGTACCATCATAGCCACTGCCCACCAAGCGCCGCTTTCGTTGCAGTTTCTGGAGCCGACGAGCAGCACTGTCGAGTGTCGCAGCGCCAGAGTTGCAGATCAGATTGAACTCATCTGATGGGCATGGCTTTACCAGGCCGAACACAGCAAGCTGTTCAAAAGTCGCACCATCAGAGGAAATTTCGACTCCGCTGAGTTCTGGGCTGCTGGCCTTCTCGCTCCCTACGGCAACATTACCGCCCATAACAACAGGCTCGTTTAAAGATGTGACGAGACCAGGCTTACGGGGACGGGGTACTAAGGCCGCAAGTAGATTACTAAGAGGCGGGAAACCACTAAGAGTGTCAGATGACTCCTGTAAAGACTCAACAGTCGTGACAAGCGCAGATGCCGTCCCTTCAGCCTCACTGCCTCGATGCATGCAGGAGTGTGTGTTTTGTATTACCGCGGTAGCCATGGTCGGACTAATATTGTCACTGGTGGAGATTAGCCCATTAGTCTGCCTATCCCATCGAAGACCGGTTTGTCCAAGACCTAAATTCGAGCCCAGGCTGCTAAGTCCGCTACCGCCCGACGAGCTACTGCCTGATGCGTTTCCACTGTCACCGGTTTGCTCAAATGTAGCCAGAGTACTAAGAGTGGCCTGGGAAGAAGACTGTGCCGATTGGCCTGAGGTTGAAGAGCCTGAATTGGACAGTCCAACTAAGTTACGAGAAGAACGCGAAGATGAATCGAGAGTGGCACTGCATCTCGAGACCGCTTCGCAAGCAGTGGCACAGCCAGTAGGACGACCACCGTCAGCAGCCGCCAAAGCAGCCGAATGGAGTTGATGTTGTAGCCTCAGCAAATGTCGTGGAAAAAGGCGTTCGTGGTGGCGAATGAATCCAGCAACTGTGAGATTTATGATAGAAGAGGCCGAGATTTCAATGTCGGGATCATCATCAGCCTGGCGCAGAAAGTTAGGAGCAAAGATGCTGGCAAGGTTCTCCACAGACATACGATTGGCCGAGCTGTACTGAGACACCTGAATGATAAAAATAGTAAGAGTGAAAAAGATAAAAATTAAATCAGATATTTAAATGACATTGCAAATCTTTCGAATGTAGTTTAAGAATAAAATGAAACCGCGCAAAAAGTTGGGTTCAAATAGAAGATCAGCCAAAAGGCCACATTATTTTATTCAAAATATCAGAAGACTGAATGTAAAGATTCGCAAAAATGTCCCTTATTCTCACACCTCTTTTACCAAACCCACGGTCCGACCCTGCAAATTATCAGGACCATTACGGCTGAGGACTCCGGGCAGGGTTCGTTTATCTAGGTCACCTTGGCAATACGACCAAATTTTGAAAACGAGATCAAACCACTGCCATACAACGGAAGAAGACCACGAACATAGCACAGGCCACAACATCTTGGTATTGATACCACTGAATAGCTTGATTGTTTTTAAATGATCCCAGAGAATGTTCAGCTTTACATTAAACTGGTTGAAGTAATGTAAGATTCATTAAGATAAGGCCCTCCATTAGAGTAAAGGAAGATATGATTGAAGTGCTTCAGTTTGAGTGCTATTTTTTAATAAATTATTGAATCTGTACTGACTT